CCCTCTACCTCTTCTTGTCCTCCTGTCGATGTCGATGTCGCTGTCGCTGTCGACATCGGTATCACAAATGACGCACTCCCCCCTCCGCTATTTCCGCTATTTGCGGCGGCCTGATGGATCCGCTCCCTGAGCCGCAACAGAGGCGCCACTGCGCCCAAGCCTAGCCGCGCGCGCGGCCGACACGCGGGCGCCCTCGGCGCAGGGGGGGGGGCCCGCCCAGGGGGAGAGGAAAGGGCCTCCAGGATCACTCGGGGCGGAGGAAGAGCGGGGGGGCGAGGCCCAAGTGAAGCTAAAAGCCAGGCACCATAGGACCCCGCAAGGAGGAGGGAAGAGGGCCTGCGGGGGCCCCAAGAAGAAAGGAGCGGGGTCCTATGGCCTGCGACTTGCCCTCTGGCCCGATGCGCTGCCGCCCAGGAAAGCAGCCTCGGCCAGCTGCGTCACCTGTCCTGGGCGGCAGTGCACAGGCCCTGGAGCACGGTGGGCCAGGGCCCGCCTGGCGTGCCACCCCCTTTACCCCCACAGAGCACAAGGCCCGAACCATGAAACAATAAACGAACAACCAGCCTGAGGACAGGGGGGGAAAGGGGGCGACGCCGTTCTTTATTCCCTATCTACGCGGCCCCGCGGTCCTCTCAGGCGCCGTCGAGCGGCAGCTCAAGAGCGCCTGCCCGCTCTCCGACCTCCAGCGCCCTGGCCGTGTCGAGGCCGGCCTGCGTGGCCCAATACTGAATCTTGAACCTGCGGTTCAGCTCGCAGTACTGCTTGGTTACGTGGCGCTCGCACTTGTGGTACTCGACTCAGTCGTGCTGGCCGGGGTAGTACTGGTTGGCTCTGAACGCCCGACGATACAGCCCTCGACTCCGTCACGCTCGGCACCATGTTGTGGCTTGGCACTGTAGTCCACGAGCTATGGTGCCCGACTCGGCCATGCTGGTCACCATCCTGCTGCTTATGACTGTGATGCCACCTTGTGGTGCTCGACCATGTCTTGGTGGCTCAGGTAGTCGTGGTTGAAAAGCTGGCCATCATCATGCAGTGCCCGTCTCATGCGTGCTGGTCGTTCCGCTGATGCACCCCCACCGCGTAGGATTGGGCGATGCGCAGCTTGGCTCGGAAGTCTTTGACTGCGATTCTCAACTCGGTAGCGGTGTTCTGAAGGTACAGCTTGATGTGGTGTTAAGCTCTTGATGCTAGGCTCGGTCGTACTGGTCGAGGTGGTCTGCTTGACTGTGCAGCGCTCGAACTCGCAGTACTCGACGCGGTCGCTGAGGTACTTGACGTGCTGGTGTATGTGGGTCGTTGGGAGGTCGGATTGTTGTTGGTGGTGTGGAATGGGCTGGGCGCACTTAGGGCCTCCATGCACCGACTTCAAGTGGGGTTCGTGGCGGCCCCACCTCGTCCCGCTATGGCTAGGGGTCACAGTGCCCTCGGTGGGGGCGAACCCCAGGCCCAGTGATATCTTTGTCGGTGAGGAACGTCTCGGCTGCCTTATGCTTCGCCCGTGGGCGCTCGGGTGCTCCTCCTCTGCCATGGGGATGGTGGGGGTGGCGAGCTAGGGCGGACCGCGGGGGCGCAGGTAGTTGCGTCCTACCCCCCCCCCCCCCCCCCTGCCCCTCACCATCCCCCCCGGCAGGCGCGGGCAGTACTCGTCCTGCCCCCCCACCCTTCGAGCCCGTCTCGAAGTTTGATCCTTGCCTCATCAGGGCAGCGTTGACTTATGCTTGGTGTGGTGGGCATACCATCTGGCTGGTACCTCTGAGCTCTGTCCGTTCGATCGCGATGTGCATCAATGCAAAACGTGGCGACTTGTGCCTGGGGTGTTCCCTCGCATTCGGGGCTTCCCCAGGACTTGCGTCCTGTCATTTCTGCAAAACTTGGCGACGTTGCCTGAGGTGTTCCCACGCACCCGGGGCTTCCTCAGGACTTGCGTCCTATCACTTTTGTGCTTGTCGTCAACGTTCTTCATCGCGATCAGCATCATCAAGCTGTTCCCGATCAGCGCTCATCGAGTTGGCGGCCCTGCTCAGAGCCTTGTCGGGTCGGTCGTGCAGGGCCCACTCCCTCGCCTCCTCCAACCAGGTCGGGGCGCTCCCTCGCCCCGCTGGGCCACGGTGGTAGTCCTGGCCCATCTCCCTGGTCTTGTAGTGGTCGAGCGGCTGGAAGAAGTGGGCCACGTCGTCATCGATATGCCATACGTTGGCGTCGCTAGGCGTCTCGCCAAAGCGCCATCTTATCTGCTTCGCCAACGCCGTCGCGATGGCCTGGCACATCCTGCTCGGGTACTCCTTGGCCGCCGCGGTGCGCCACTGGCCCTGGTCGTTGATGCCCGCCAGCTCCGCGTGGCAGGTGGCCGTGTGGAAGCACCTCCCACCTCCAGGCAGCCTTCTTATCTCCGAGCGGAGAGTTGGAAAGGCTACCGCCAGCAGGCTTGTGGACTTCCTCGATCGCGCCCCGCAGGTGCACTGGTCGAAGGTGATCAGCTCCACTCCCTGCTGGCCAAGGAGGTGGCGCATCTCGGGGAGCCTCCATGAGCTGGCGAAGTGCTCCTCGGTGGGCTCGCACGGGTGCTCGAGCATGCCTGGGACGCCGAGGTTGAGGCACATGTACATGAGCTCCAGCTGTGTCCTGTAGAGGCGATTGCCTACCGCTACCTGTGCCATCTCTGGTCGGGAGAGGTAGCGGAGGCCCCACAGACTGTTGCTGCTCCTCAGGGGTCTCGGTGGGCGACCCCTGCAGGCGTTGGGGGGCAGGTGTCGCGCTCGGCTCCATGTCTCGCACGGTGGTCCTCCGATGACTCCTGCGAGCCTTCCTGCCTGTGCCATGCTTCGCCACTTGCTGACTGCAACTTCCGATGTCAGGTCGCCGAAGGTCGGATCGTTGACGACGTCCAGGCTGAGCATGTGCAGGTCGCATGAGGCCCGACTGCAGACGCGGTCGAACCAGTCCTGAACACCTCCCTCTCGGCGACGACCGCTGAACAGGTGCAGCACGTATAGTGTCCGAGCTGGCGGAGGCCTGGGCACCGTAGCTGGCGGCAGCAGCGTCTCTTCGATGAAGGGGGGCTCAAAGTCCTGGTGGCGGCCGCTGTTGCTGTCGCCGCTGTCATCGTCCGTGTGCAACTCTGGAGGGCGAGCAGGGACTGCAGGCTTCTCGGCCCAGTCAATGGGCCTGCCAGCCCTTCTATTCGCCTGCTGTTGATCTCGCACCACTTGCTGGTTGTGCTGCAGCTCGGACTTGCTGAGCAGCGCTGGACGCGTTCTTCGCCAGTGCCGGGCGCACCTGCGGACGCGCAGCAAGTGCTTGACCAGCCTGTTAGTGGTGTGGTAGTCCATGCCGCATCCGTAGCAGACCGAGCCAGTTGCCCACGAGATTGGATGTTCCGACGAGGTGTGGTCCTTGGTTATTTGGGCCCTTAGTACTGATGCACTGAGCTCTGTGCGCCCGCAGTGGTAACATAGGTACTTGCGCTGCTGCTCGAAGTGCTGATCTGGGAAGGACGAGATGGATTCCGTATGGGTCCAACGCTGGAGTCGTAGCCGCCATCGAGCATGGTGGTCGTGATCGTACTGACGGGCTTTGCCACGTTGGCAAGCTTTCTTGACTGCACTTAGGTCCCAGTCCTTCCAGTCGTCGAGTGTGTAGGCTCCACCTCGCTCGTCTGGTCCTGTGTGGTCGCGGACCCAGTCTAAGTCGCGGCGGAGCAGTGCTCCCCACCCGTAACTCCCGTCCCATGCCTGGCTGAGTAGTCGACGGAGGTGAAGGGGACCCCAGTTGAGGCTTCTACCAAATAGCCGAAGTCTCTCGAGGCGCAGGACGATCTCTGGGGGGAGCTTGTCGACTCCTTCGAGGATCTGGGTGTTGGTGACTTCCTTCTTCTGTCGTACTTTCCATGTGATCCTCTGTGCGGCGGCGTAGTTCACTATGTACTGGTTGTTGAAGTTCCTGGCCTGGCCTGCTGTGAGTTCGGGCCAGGTGGACGCGTTGTATAGCAACTGGGACAACACCACGCTGTCGGCTAGGTAGGCCTCGTCTTTGACGGCCAGCTCTGCACGACGGTGGACTTCACGATGGAGAGGCCGCTTGGAGGTCGCGGCGGTAGCTACCTTCACTGCGACATCCACCCCAGGAGATGCATTGTCGGCCACGTAGGTCCCGAGGAGCTTGTGGTGGTGGACTACCTCGACGTGGCTCTCCGCCAGGGGGGCCGCGATCTTAGGCACTCCGTTGGCGTAAAAGTTGGCCCGAGCTTGCCGGCTTCCAGGCCCGCTGAAGTCGATCATCACTTTGGTCTTGGTGAGCTGCAGCTGGAGGCCGAAGGTGCTGGTGGCACAGTAGACGGCCTCGCAGAACCCCGAGGCTTCAGTCTGAATGTGGTCGGGGCTGGTAAACACGTGCATGCCCGTGAGGTCGTCGACGAACGAAATGCAATGGGCCTCGTGCTCTTGGAGTGACCCATCTGCAGGGTCGGTGGCGCATGCGAAGCTACTCTCCAGGGGGCTGCCCTGGGCCCCTAGCCCTCGCTGTGCAAGGTAGCTGTCGACCATGCGGTGGACCCGGCCAAAGAGCAGATTGAAGTCCGCGTCGGCGAGGGGCACTCCAGGCCTCGTACCTTTGTGCGGGGCCATGAAGCTCTGGGAGAACCTGCGCGATGTCCACCTGTTGCGGTACCCTTCGGCGATGAGGGCAGCCAGGTGGGAGCCGTCCAGCACGGTGTCGAGTATCCCTGGGTTAGCCATGAGTTGCTCCAGCTGCGGCTGGGCCCACAGGGGAACTTCTAGGTTGTCGAGCACCTCCCTGACTTCATCCTCTTCGCCTGGGATGCTGTGGACCAGCTGGACGACCACCGAGTAGAAAGCCTCCTTTAGGTCGTAGCAGCTGATCATGGAGTACTTCCCTTGGGCCTGGCTTCTCTCGGTGAAGAGGCGCGCTGCTAGGACCGCCATGTCAGACCCCCTCTTGGGCCGGCCTCCAACCTGGATGTCATCCAGCGCTATGGCGAGGGTGGCGTTGAGCATGGTCCTCAGGTATGTGTGGCGGTGCTTGCCCAGGACGTTGTTCAAGGGGATTTCGCGGTAGGCTAAGAGGTAGCGGGGATCGCCCTTGCCTTTGGGGCTGGCGACCAGATCCCCGCCCTTAAAGCTCAGCGGCTCCCGCACCGTGGTCGCCACCTTGGTGAAGAGGGGGTGCAGTAGCTTGGCTGCCTCTGCAGGGGCTGCCCTGAGGATGGCGTTCGTGAGCCCGTCGGGGCCTCCTTGCGCCCCAGCCTTTGCCGCGGCGAACTGGGCCTGGCAGACGGACAGGGGCATCACCATGGAGAGATCCAGCATGCCGTCGAAGGGCCTGGTCTGGCTGTCCTGGTTGTACTTGTGGGCAAGGTCGTCCGCTGTCACAATCTTGCCTGCCTGTATCTTCGCGAAGTGGTTGAGCTCCTGGTCCGCCATGTCCTGGGAGTTGTGGACCACCTCTCCGTTCTGGTCCAGTCTCATCGGCTTTCCTGCTGGAAACCGCGCCTTCTTCCCGCCATACCTTAGTAGGTCCCGATAGGCTTTCCACTGGGCCGCCGCGTCGTTCGCGGCAGAGGCGGAGGTCGCAGTTGAGGCTAGCCGACTGAGGAATACGCTTCGGTCCTTCTCGACTGCCGAGGCCGTGAGCAGCCCTGACCTGGTGAGGAAGGAGTGAATGGCCATGGCATAGTCCATGGGTGAGATCGCCCAGTTCAGGAGGAGGTTCGCGTAGTAGTGGATGTCGTAGATGGCGCCGTCGTCGTCGCCCCGCACTGCACTCCACAGGGACAACGAGGCTCCGACCTCGCCTTCAAGAAGGGAGTGAGCATGGGCCACCAGCCGTCCAGGTCGGTCGTCATGGGCTTCTCCTCTTAGCACTGCACGATGAACTCGTAGTGTGAGGCGCCTGGCTCGGATGAGTCCCATGGTGGTCTTAGTGATGTAGGGCTTCCGAGCTGCCTTGACGGCCTTGCCGAAGGCCTGGATGGCCGCATCGTTGACGACTCTGGTGACCTCCTCGCAGTGAGTGTTGACGTCCACCTCCCAGGGGATGATCGGAGCCTGCTTGAGAATCTCCTTGAAGCTGGCTTTGGCGTCGTCATTGTTTAGGTTGCTCAGATCGGGCCTCGGCCCTGAGGCCTTGGTGGTCTTGCAGACGGCCCACTTGATCGGGCTGAACTGCCCCCCCAAGATGGCATGTGAATGCGGCTTCCTCTTCAAATCTGAAAGATGCAAATCGCACGACCCATTTCACGACGCAGCGCCGGGGGGGCATTGAGCCCGCCTGTGCGCGGGCGCGAGCGCGAAGAGTCTGAGATGATCCTGAGAGGCTCCGGAGAAGCTCCCAAGGGGCTCCTCCGATGCTTCTGAGAGGCTGCTGAGGACGGCGCTGATCGCACCTCATGTAGCCGAATCCCACCTCCGAATCTTGCCTGCGGCGGCCGCGCTCCTGCTCCGAATCTTGCCCATCGACGTCCCGAATGGGGCTCCGAATCGCGCCGCGCAAGGGCTCCGAATCTTGCCCGTCGACGCCTCGGATGGTGCTCCGCACTGTTAAAAACAAGACCGAAGATAATTCACCCAACTTTCGCTAATGATTCGACCGATGTGAAACTGCCATCTTTCGGGGCAGCTTTCGGTGGCCTCGTCCGGTGGCATCTCGGGGGGCAAGCCCAGCGCGCGCGGGTGGCCTGTGTACTTGGGGCCCCGCGGACCCCGCGTCCAGAGCCCTCGACTCAAGGGCGCAGATCTCCTTTGATTCTGGGGCCAGGGCCCACGGACTCCGCGGCGGGGCCCAGGCGAGTCGGGGCCCGACCATGTGCTGCGGCATCGCGAAGAGCGTCCAGCAACGCCAAAGAAACCGCGCGCAAGAACGACATCGAGCAAACAAATAAGCAACCCGGAACATAGCAAAATTCACAGACGTTTCGCTTGGGGTCCTGTTCAGCCCGACACTTGAGGGTGGCGAGTGGCGAGTACTGGTATGTGGTCTTGTGCAGCGGCGCCTCGGTCAAGACCTGGCTCCGTGCTGCAGCTCGCTACGTACGGGGCGATGGAGGAGCACAGCAGGATGTAGTCAATCCTGTGGCGCTGCCCCTTAGATCCAGTATGCGTATACGAGTCGCTTCCTGGATCCTTCGTGGTATTGATGACCTCCATGTCGGTGTCGGCTGCGAAGTTTATGATATGCTTGCCATTGCCATTGGTTGGTTCTGGATACCCACTGGCGCCAACTCCTGGGGACTCGCAGTCGCCTAGACGCCCGTTCAGGTCCCCCATGAAGATGTCCACGTGGTACTTGGCAGCCAGCCGCTGGGCAGACTCCCAGAACTCTGTCTTCTCAGCCGACTGAGATTCTTCATGGGGGGCGCACGCGGAGGCGATGACCATGTCCGTGCCTGCCACGCGGGTCTTGATGATCAAGCGCCTGTCGTGCTGGTGGAGGACGAGGGCATCTTTGGCGCTTAGGTACCTCGCGACCCCGCCCACGCTGATCGGCTTGGAGACGTTGATCCAAATGTCGCATCCTCTGTTCTGCTGCGTATGACCTGGGGAGTAGCAGACATATTCCCCAACGTGGCGGACATCTCCATCGCTCTGCGTCTCCTTGAGGGCTACCAAATGTAGGCCCATGCCAGAAAACTGTGCTGCTAGGTGTGTGACCTTGGAGATGCTCTGCTTGCTTTTGCTGGCCGCCTTGCCTTTGCCTGACTTGAAGTTGACGGCGGCTAGGAGTGATCTGCAGTTGTAGGTGCACAGCTTCAAGCTGAGGTCGGCCTTGATGGTGGTCGTGCTGATGGGCCGCTGGATCGCACTGGGGGCTGCCTGGGGCTGGGTGGCTCCAATGATGAAGGCTTGGTTTTGCATGGGAGGGTATGCGGCCTTGACTGCACCAGGCGCTGTGCGAAACCACTCCCAGGACAGGAACTTGTTGTGTGCGATCGCTTGTACTGCGGCTAGATCCGGGTCCATCAGGTCGGTGGCCGAGGCATGATCTGCTACTCCGTCTGCAAGCTCATTCCAAGGGTGGCCAAAATGTGAGTTAATGTGATTCCACTGAGTAGGTCGAGCTTCTTGGAGGAGTCCAGCAAGCGACCGAATTGCGGCACCAAGCCGTGGGTGCACGTGGCATTGGGCATCACCTTTGGCCAGGTGCATGACGTCCAGGGCATCAGGCGTGATCTCGATGGGGACGGTGGTGTCTTGACCAAGGGCCCACATGACTGCCCACAGCACTGCCGTGAGCTCAGCCGTGTACGCCGTCACCTTCTCGTTATTCGCCATGTCATGCAGAGACTCGGTGACCTTGCCAGCAATGAAACCCCGAAAGCCGCACGGGCCTCGCGAGATGCGCCCGTCGTCGTATTCGACGACAACGATTACTGCCCAGGCTGCTGTGTGTGGGGTGCCGTTGTAGCTGCCGTCTGTGTAGATGTGCGCGCTTGGTCGGAAGCTCACGTGCTGGGCACATCTCCAGCGCTAGCCTTGCCATGTTATGGAGGGTCGTGGTGTCGATGTCGGCACAAATATTGACTCGGCCTCGGCCTCGCAGGGTCTCTGCTACTGAGTCTTGGCTGAGGACTGGTAGTACTGCTGGTTGGCCTCTGTCTGGCGCTGCCGCGGTGTAGGGCTGCCGTTGCCTTCGGCCGCGCCTGGCCCTCCTCAGCTCGGACGTACTCGGGGGAGTACTCGACGTCGTCGGCCGACACTGATCCTTTGCCGCGCAGGGTGGGGCATGATGTACTGGGAGCGCGGGCTGAAGGCAACTGCGATGGCGCCGCGTGTGCAGCCGGGGCGAGAGTTGAGACCCCCTCCTGCCTCCCACTCCGCTCCAGAGATGGTGGTGGCGGTTGATGGCTCCCCTCATCGAAGTTCAAGTTGTCCGATCCAGCCCGCACGGCCTGACTGAACAAGGGCTCGTGTGATTGGGCATGGAGCACGCTGTCACGTAGACGATGAGGTTTGCCAGCTGGAGCGTCAGAGTGGTCGGTGGCGCTCATACCGTGGTGGGAGCCAGCTGATGCCGAGAGGAGCGTTGGCCTCCACCTGGCTGGTCGCGGTGACTTGTGTGAGTTTGTCGGGGCTGGAGCCAATGGTGATACTGGAACGGCTTGGTAGCCGCTGGACCTGGTTGGACACCCCAACACGACATCGCTGGCGCGAGGGCACGGATTCGACCACCCTCCCGTCGGAGGCATGCCCTCGCGCCTTCGCACCTGTAAGGGGGATTGATCCCGCAGCTGCTCTACCCTCTGGGGAGCAGCTCCGCCCGTCGGTGGCCTTACAGCGTGAGGCGACCCCGCGCTAGCGCGCCAACTTGGACAGGTCCTAGTCGGCACTAAGGGCTGCTCGGGTTCGGCCATGCCATGAGGTAGTTCGGTTGGTGGGTGGTGGGGCTTGGTGCGTTGGTCCAGCTTATGGGTGTTGGTTGGGGCAAGGTTGTCCTCTTCGTCAGTCGATGCTGTGGCCGTAGGTGGAATGCTGCGTGCACCGCTGCTCGGTGGTGGCCGAGGCGTTGGTCTCCACGCTGTGCCCTGAGCAGTGCCGCTGCCATCGAGGTCCCGCCTCGGGCACCCTTGGACTGCGCCCCTGGCCTGGGAGCAAGGCATCGACCACCCTCCCGACGGAGGCTTGCTGCCAGGCCTTCGCACCTGCGAGGGGGGGCGGTCCCGCATCTGCTCGCTCCTGTGGGGAGCAGATCCACCCGTCGGCGGCCTTGCAGTGTGATGGGAGCCCATGCACGCCCGCCAGATTGGGCTGCCTTCTTGCACGTCTGAGTACTGCTGGCTGCTGGCATGGGTGGGTCGGGTGTGGGCGCTGTGCCCGTGATCCATCAGCAGGGCGCAGTACTGGTTGTGGGTGCTGCTGTTGTCCCGACTACTGTGGCTCTCGGCAGCACGTCGTGCACGGCGTGCTGCCCGCTGGGCTGAACGAAATGCTGCAACTGCTCGCGCTTGCTTCCATTGCTCCTGCAGTTGCTCTGTGCCAACCTCGGCCTCACTGCCAATCGAGCTCTGACCATCGAGAAAGGTGCTGTCAGCATCCTCAATCTCGTGGACTCGGATGGCGGAGGGAGGCGTCCTTTGTGCAAGGGCAGCCGGTAACGCATCCTTGCAGCCATGGTGGCTTGTGCCCTGAAGTACTGACTGACTGATGGGTGCATCACTCCTCATTGGTAGTGTGCCTCCTTCGATGCCGCCTGGCGCCCCTCGAGACGCGGCGGGCGGCCCTCGCGTCGGCCGTGGCGGTGTCACATTGGCCCCTCGAGACCCTGGTGACTGGGAACGCTGAAGTTGCTGGCTGCTGCGTCTGGGAGTCGTCCTCCCACTGCCAACACCAGCTGCGGTAGCGCCCTTGATTGGAGTCCTGGCCCCTCGGGACCCTGACCTCCTGGGAGTCGCTGCTCTGGCAGGTGAAACTGTCGCGATCTCTGATGGTGCATGTCTTACTAGACGGCTGAAACCGATTGCCCCAGGGCCCGCCGTGCTTTCAGGCATCTGAGGACTGGTAGGTTGAGCATCGTAATGGATGACCCACTACCGTGCTGATGCCCTTGGGCCCCAGCTGCTCTCCCCGATGCTGCGCAGGAGATCGATGCTGTCAAACTGGTCGGAGAGCATGAAGGAAGCCCACATCCGTCGTGCTCTGCCCTGTCGGACTCATCGGCCGCCTCCTGGCCATGAATTCTGTCATGCATATCCTGGTGCCTGGCGGCGCTGCTAGGCCGCCTCCCCCCCTTGGCGGGGGTCAACGGGTGCTGCTGCTGCCTGCTCCTCAGCGCCAGGAGTTGCAGGAGGGGAGGGGGTTGCTGTGCCCCTTGCCTCGTCCCTCCTGCGGGCCACTCGGCCACGAAAACGTGCTATGCCTGTCTCTCCCGAGTCTACTCGCTGACCCTTGTAGGCCTGGCTGATGTCTTCTCCTGGAAATGCTGGCGCAGGTCCAAAGGCCTTCTCGAGGGCTGCAACTGCGGCGGCTGCTGAGGTGTGCTGGCGCGTGAGGATGTCGATGCCCTCGTACTGCCTCTCGATACTGGCTGCTGCCGCCTCCGCGCCCTGCTGGGATGCAGGGGGGGGGGTCATTTCGAAGCTATCGACTCCCTCTCCACCTTCTTGGCCGCGCTGCTCGTCATTCCCGATGGGTACTGTAGGCGTGAGCGACCTCTCACTCGGAGGCGCTGGCGACGCTGGGATGAAGATCACCTGGGATGCTGTCGGGGTGGGCGGGTCGCCTTGCTCTGCTGGTACCGAGCTAGCCCTTGAGGTGGAGGCCAGGTCCGTGTCTGCCTCGTGCTGCGTGACTCCCCTCATCCCCTCACCCTCCTCGGGTGTGGGGTGGTCCTGGCTCCAGGGCGGCCAGCTGGCGGGGTAGATCATCGGGGCATGCTCCGAGCAGTTATCAGCAACTTGGGAGTCTTGGGAACCACTAGGGCCGAACTGGGTCATCGGGGCCTCCTCGTAGTAGTGCCTCTGGATCTCCCCCGCCTCGTGGTCCCTCACGACTGGCTCCAGCTCCTCTTCCATATGTGCGGCTTCCACTTGCGCTTTCGCTTCCTCGTCATGCTTTCGCAATTCCTCTTGTTCACGCTCGTACGTTCCTCCTCCTCCTCGCCCCCCCGCTGCCCTCCCTCCCATGCCCTCCTCTTCAGCAGTAATGTATACATGTATGCACGTACGCACGTACAAGCGTACGCATGCATCTATGTATGCATGTGCGTATGAACGTGCTACGTGCATGTATGTATGTATGTATGTTTGTTTGTTTGTTTGTTTGCATGTATGTATGTATGTATGCATGCATGTATGTATGTATGTATAGATCGGACAACACCAATGGACGTATGTGTGTACTTATGTATGTATGTATGTGTGTATGTACGTATGTACGTAGATACGTATGTCTGTATGCAGTCATGTGTTTACGTACGTATGTATATATTTGTATACAGACAGACAGGTCGGACGCTATGTACGCATATATGTATGTCGGTGTGTATGTATGTAGGTATATAACTAGGACGGTATGCATATATATATATATATATATATTTATATATATATATACAGTGAATACATTTGGATATAGGTAGGTAACGTTTCATCCTCGGTTTCCGAAGCTGATTTCGAGGCTGAAAAAAGATGTGAAGCTTTCCTTGAGGGACGGCCCGAGTTGAGCCCTGCCTCTTTACTCGCGGGGCGAGTCGTGCGCCTGACGTTTCGGTGTTTCGGGTCTTCCCGCGGAACCCATGTCATACCACTCCTGCTCCTCCAAGGCTTCAAGGATGCTGGCTCCAGTGTCACGTTGGCGCAGCCCTCCTCCCCCCAAGGGGCCTTCGCCGCTGGGGGGGGTGGCGGAAGAAAGCGAGGAAGCATTAAGATGCGCCAAGGCACCCTCAAGGGGGAGAGGCACGCCAGGGCCTCCTCCCCCTTCCTCCTCCCTCTTCCTCCCCGCTCTTCCTCCCTTTCCTCCTCCTTCTCTCGTCTTCGGTCCTCCCCCCCTTCGCTCCTCCTCTTCGATCCTCCTCAAGCCTGCTCCGCGTCCTCCTCGTCGATCCTCCTGGGCCAATGTTCCCTCCAGGGGGAGGGCCACGCTCTGCTCCTTGTCTTCCTCTTCTCCCGCCCTGGGGAGGGTCGCGCCAGGCCCAACATGGCCGCGAGGTGCAACGTCGACATGGAGACGCTGCTCTCCGACCCCAACCGCAACACCGCGACGCTGGAGGGGGGGCCCGGGGCGGCCCGCGGGGCGGGGGGGGGGGCAGCGGCGGGGTTCGGTCGGTACGACCGGCATGGGGACAGCAAGAGTCAAGGCCTCCCAGATTGTGCCCGAGCAGACGGTCGGTGCGACCGAAGTGGATACGGAAAGCATGGGCACGAACACCGGCAGTCGTTCCGCCTCATTTTGAACAGGCTTCGCTGTCGGTGTCGCCGCGGACGGTGCCCATGTGGGACAGAAGGCCGCCTGCCCAACAGCGGCCGCTGCTGGTTATGGACAACATTTGTTGTTGGGCATTGTACCCATTTTTCCGTACCAATTTCGGGCGTCCAAGACTGGGGTCGATGGATGCATCGGCGATGCATCGGCGATGCGGCGTGATCCTCCGACCCCATCTACTCGGAGCTCATTTCGGAGGCCTTGAAAGAATGGCGACGAAGACCGACACCAATTCCTGCTCATTTGAGCCATATTTGTTGTCGGTGTTGCCGCGGACGTTGCCCATTTGAGGCAGAAGGTCGCATGTCCAAGAGCGGCCGTTGTTTGTTTAGGAGAGAATCTGCTGTGGTGCATCGAATTCTTTTTGGTTTGCTGTGTCCACTTCGGGCGTGCTAATTCGTGCACTTGTTAGGGACTCCTCGCCTCGAGGATGTTCCGTCAGCTCGGGCACCTCTGGGGGAAGCCTTCGGGAAGTCCTCGAGCATTCTTCGGGGAGTTTTTCCGAAGCTCGAGGTGCCGCCGCAACTCTGCTCGAGGAGGACGAGGACGAGAACGAGGACGAAGACGAGGAGGAGGAGGAGGAGGAGGAGGAGGAGGAGGAGGAGGAAGAGGAGGAGTACGAGGAAGAGGAGGAGGACGAGGAGGAGGAGGCGTACGAGGAGGAGGAAGAGAACCAGGAGGAGGAGGCGGAGGAGGAGGGCGAGGAGGAGGAGCAGGAGCAGGAGGAGGAGGAGGAGGAGGAGGAGGAGGAGAGGAGGGGGATGCTGATGAGTGATGCTTGATGTTGATGATGATGATGATGATGATGTGGTATGTGAGGTATGATGATGATGATGATGCTGATGAATGACGACGACGATGTTGATTGTGATGATGGAGTTGAGTGATGATGATGAAGCTGATGTTGTTGTTGTGATGTTGATGATGTTATGGTGATGATGGTGAGATGTGATGATGTTGGATGATGATGATGATGCAGGTGATGTTCATGATGCTGATGATGATGGATGCTGATGCTGATGCTGCTGATGATGATGATGATGTTGATGATGCTGGTGCTGTGATGATGATGTTGCTGATGGTGGTGATGGATGACGATGATGATGGTGCTGCTGATGATGATGATGCTGATGGTGGTGATTATGTATGATGCTGTTGATGATGTTGATGATGATGATGATGATGTTGATGATGCTTGATGCTGGCGATGTGTGTGATGATTGATGATGATGATGATGATTATGATGTTGATGGATGATGATGTTGAGGATGATGATGCTGATGATGTTGATGATGATGATGATGAGGTGAGGTTGAGGATGAGGATGAGGATGAGGATGAGGTGGAGGAGGGGAGGAGGAGGAAGGAGGAGTGAGGAGGAGAGGAGTGGGGGTAGGAGAGGAGGGAGGAGGAGAGGAGGAGGAAGACGAGCAGGAGGATGAGGACGATCTCCCGGAGTTTTTCTTTGTTTGCGCCTCGGCGCGCTCTCCGGTGGCTAAGAGCCTCGCCGTGGGTGTCCCCCTTCTGGGTGCCGAGCATCGTCCCAGACGGCGGCCGGAGGCACGAGTCACGGTCCGAGCGGAGGAGGAGGAGGAGGAGGAGGAGGAGGAGGAGGAGGAGGACGAGGAGGAGGACGAGGAGGAGGAGGAGGTGGAGGAGGAGGAGGAGGAAGAGGAGGAGGACGAGGAGGAGGAGGAGGAGGAGGACGAGGACGTTTCCCTCCGCGCCTGCTCCTCGTCCTCCCCCTCCTTGCGCTGCACCTCCTCGTCGTCCTTGCCCTCCCTCGTCCTCCTCGTCCTCGTCCTGGTCGTCCTCGTCGTGCTCCGCCTCCTCCCGCTCGCTCCTCCTCCTTTCCCTCTTTCTCCTCTCGCGCTGCCCTTTCGGGGAGCCTTCTCTCGCATCCGATGTGGATTCGCCGCAGATTTGGAGTGGATTCAAGATTACACGTGGACTCCACGCGGATTTGACGCAGATAGCGGCGCGATGTAACAGATATTCATCTCCGAAGACTCAACATATCTTCTCTCCACCACCCCTTCAAGCTAGTCCTTCTCCCCGTCTATTCCTTCTCTTCCTCCTCTGCCCCATTCCCCGAGATAGAAGATCTGGCTGCCGGCCCGCTTCTGGTTGCGGGGGCTCGGGTGGATCGATTTGGCTCAGGAGATGCGGCATACAGTCGGGGCACTGAAGAAGGAGCCCTTTTCGTTGGGGAGGGGCTCGGTGTTCCTTAAGTGTTTCACAGCTTGCCTCAGGTGTTTCAAAGTTTGCCTCGGGTTCTTCCGAGGTTTTCCACGGGAAATCGAGGTTGCACTGATGGGAAAAGGGGCCTCGTTCCTTGTTTAGGGTTCCTTAGGTCAACGTCCCGGCTGTAGCCAGCGTGCCTCTCCTTCGTTTTTGTCTGGCTATTCTTAGTGGCCCTAGCACAATAGCGCGCCGATGCGCGCTCCACGTGCCCGCTCCCCCCTATGATGCCCCCCCGCCCTCCCTGCCCTTCCCACCGCTCCTCCGATCGCCCCTGCCTCACCGCCTGAACTCGGCGGCAACATGTGAATCCTCCCCCCCCCACGATTTCCAAGTCGGGGTGGGGGTTCACTGTGCTCGGGAGGTCCCGAGCGGAGCAAGCCCCCACCCCCCTTCGAAATCGTGGGGTTGGGGCAGGGTTCACGTGTGGACGCCTGTCAACTCACACTTGTGAGCACGCACATTCGGAGTCCCTCTGCTACGCTTACCTCCTGGACGCCCCCAGTGGCGGGCAGGCGCTGACGACGCTGCTGAAGACGGGCCACGAATCCAACGTCGAGAGCCTCGTGAAGCAGATCACGACGTTCATGTCCGACATCAGCGACGTGTTCAAGATAGAGGCCGGGGCCCACGGGGAGATCTGGAGACTTCTTTGTTTTGTTGCCAGAGGAGGCTTCGCTCTCTCCACCGGCCTTCCCTCAGCTTGCTTGTATGGCCACGCTTGGTCGGTAGGTTCGTTGGTTTTCTTGTCGGTTGGCTGGCTGGCAGCTCGGCTGATTGGCCTGTTGTCTAAGTTGATGGTTGGCAGTTGATTCGGGCTGTCTGCTAGCTGGCTGGCTGCGCGGCTCTGTAGCACTTGCTGAAGGTCTGTGGTTTCGGGAGCGCGCTCTCGTTGTAATTTGCGAGGGCCCGCGACTTCGGGAGCCTGCGCCCCTGTCTATTTTCGAAGATTCGCGGCCTCGGGTCCAACGCCGAGCTCTCGGGAACCGACGGGGGGGGGGGGCCAGGGGGGCGCATGAGAGGGCGGGAGGAGGAGGAGGAGGAGGGGAAGGAGGAGGAGCAGGAGCAGGTGAGGTGCAGGAGCTTGAGCATGAGCAGGGGGAGGAGGAGGAGGAGGAGGAGGAGGAGGAGGAGGAGGAGGAGGAGGAGGAGGCGCAGCACGACAGTGCTCTGCTCTCTGGCGAGGGGGTGCTGCGCCCTCGCGCGGCCTCCGCCGGGTGGGCTCCCTGGCCTCGGGCGTGCGAAGTGCTCGTACGAGGGACTTCGGCCTCGAGCGCCGCAGTCGACGCCACCTCGACGACGACGACGACGACGACGACGACGACGGCGACGACGACGACGACGACGACGACGACGACGACGACGACGGGAACGACGGCGACGACGGCGACGACGGCGACGACGACGACGACGGTCTGACGATGGTGGCCTCCGTGCGCGAGGCAGCAGTGCTCTACACACCGGGCTCCTGGGCACCACAGGGGTCCACGTGCGAACCCTACCCCTGCCCCCCACGATTTTTGGGGGGGAGGGTGGGGTAGGGTTCGCATGTGGCCCCCCGAACCAGGAGAGCGCGAGCGCGCCGTGGTTTTTCAAGATGGGGACCGCGCGGCCTCGGGCGTGGGCGCCCGAGGCAGGGTGTACAGAGGACGGTTGCCTCGGGGGGTGCTCGCCCGCGGTGATCTCGAGGGAGTGCCTCTTCAGGGGCACGCGGGCTGGGCTCCCAAGCATCTTGTGTTGAGTTGTGTCCTCGTCCCGAAGAGGCAGCGCCCCGCGTCACGCCCCTCCCCCTCCTCTTCGCCTCCTTCCCCTCCTCCCTCCCGCGTTCGCAGGCCGCCACCCCCGTCACTTTGGCACGCCCCTTGCACGTGTCGCGTCCCCATAGAGAGCTCCACTGAAAGCCCCAGTGGCTGCGTTCGCATGCCGCCAACCCCCTCACTTTGGCACACCTCGCACGCGTTTCGTGGCCCCATGGGGAGCTACACCTGAGGCCTCGGTGGCTGCGTTCGCATGCCTCCCCCCCCCCCTCACTTTGGCACATTCCTCACACGTCTCGTAGCCCCATAGGGAGCTCCACTGAAGGCCCCAGTGGTTGCGTTCGCATGCCGCCACCCCCCTCACTTTGGCACGCCCTTCACACGTGTCGTGGCCATATTGGGAGCTCCTTCCAAGGCTCCAGTGGCTGCGTGCGCATGCTGCCACCACCCATACGTTGGCACACCCCTCACACGTTTCGCAGCCCCATGGGGAGCTCCACCTAAGGTTCCAGCGGCTGCGTTCGCAGGCTGCCCCCCCTCACTTCGGTACACCCCTCAAACGTTTCGTGGCTCCATTGGGAGCTCCACCGAAGGCCTCAGTAGCTGCGCCCGCATGTCTTCTCACGCTTCTCCCAGGGCCTCTCAGCCGCAACGGGTTGCATCAGCATGTGACCCGTTTCGTCTGACCTCCGTGCCCCTTGCGGGCGGCCCCAGCGGCAGCGCCCGCATGGCGGCGCCGCCCCATTTCGGCGCTCCCTTCACGCATTCCGTAGCCTCGTACGGAGCTCCACCAAAGGCGATCCCCATAACGGTGGTATTCACAACAGCATATGCTTGGGTCCTTCGTCAGGATAATCTCCCACATCCAAAGTGGGGTTCTTGTTTTCTCTAGACACCCCACCCAATAGAAACTACTGAAAACCATTGGTTCCCAATAGAAAGCAAATTAAGGCCATTGGTTTCCAATCGAAAACTAATTAGAACCATTGGTTCCCTTAACTAAAACAATTGGTTTGCCAATCGAGAATTAATGAAAACCTTTGGTTTCCACTAGAAAACTACTAACAACCGTGGGTTTCCAATAGAAAAATAATAGCAACAATTGGTTCCAATGGGAAACTGGAAAGCTAATACAAACAATTGGTCCCCAATAGAAAACTAATTAAAACCATTGGTTTCCAATGGGAAACTAATGAAAACCATTGGTTGCCAATCGACAACTAATAAAAACCTTGGTTTCCAATAGAAAACTGACAAAATCGAGTGGTTTCCAATAGAAAACTAATGACAACGATTGGTTTCCAATAGGAAACTGATAAAACCATTGGTTTCCAATAGACAGCTAATATAAACCATTGGTATCCAATAGAAGCCTAATAGAAACAATTGCTTTCCAGTGGAGAACTAATTACAATCATTGGTTTCGAATAGAGCGCTAGTTAAAACCATTGCCTCCCAATAGAAAAATATTAAAACAATTGGTTCCCACTAGAAAACTAATACAAACAATTGGTTTCCAATCGAAAACTAATAGAAACCATTGGTTCCCAATAGAAAACTAATAGAAACCATTGGTTCCCAATCGAAAACTCATTAAAACCATAGGTGTTCAATAGAAAACGAAGCCAAACCATTGGTTTTCAATAGATGACTAATTAAAACAATTGGTTACCAATAGAAAACAAACAGAACCACACCAAAACCCAAACCCAAACCCAAACCCAAACCGAAACCCAAACCCAAACCCAAACCTCACCGGCCATAAGTCAGGTGTGACCCTAGTAGTAGTAGTAGTAGTAGTAGTAGTAGTAGTAGTCGTAGTCGTAGTCGTAGTCGTAGTCGTAGTCGTAGTCGTAGTAGAAGTAGTAGAAGTAGTAGTAGCAGTAGTAGTAGTAGTAGTGGTGGTAGGATTTGTAGTAGTCGCAGTAGTCGTAGTAGTCGTAGTAAGTATTATTATTAGTAGTAGTAGTAGTCGTGGTAGTAGTAGTAGTAGTAGTAGTAGTCGTAGTAGTAGTAGTAGTAAAAGTAGCAGTCGTAGTCGTAGTAGTAGTAGTCGTAGTAGTAGTAGTAGTAGTAGTAGTAGTAGTAGTAGTAGTAGTCGTAGTAGTAGTAGTAGTAATAGTAGTATTAGTAGTAGTAGTAGTAGTAGTAGTTGTTGTAGTAATAGTAGTATTAGTCTTAGTGTTAGTAGTTAGTAGTAGTAGTATTAGTAGTGGTGGAGTAGTAGTAGTAGTAGTAGTAGTAGTAGTAGTAGTAGTAGTAGTAGTCGTAGTCGTATTATTATTATTAGTAGTAGTAGTAGTAGTAGTAGTAGTATAGTAGTAGTAGTAGTAGTAGTAGTAGTAGTAGTAGTAGTAGTAGTAGTAGTAGGAGCAGTAGTCGTAGTAGTAGTAGTAGTAGTAGTAGTAGTAGTAGTAGTGGTAATAGTAGTAGTCGTAGTAGTAGTAGTAGTAGTAGTAGTAGTAGTAGTAGTACTAGTAGTTCTAGTAGTAGTCTTAATAGTAGTAGTAGTAGTAGTAGTAGTAGTAGTAAAAGTAGTAGTAGTAGTAGTAGTAGTCGTAGTGGTCGTCGTAGTCGTAGTAGTTGCAGTAGTACTAGTACTTGTAGCTTTTCCATCTGTCCTATCATTGGTACCAGTAGCGGCCACATCAGTAGTAGTAGTAGCAACCGCAGGCGTAGTCGGAGAAAACGAAGCCAAACCATTGGTTTTCAATAGATGACTAATTAAAACACTTGGTTACCAATAGAAAACAAACATAACCAAACCAAAACCCAAACCCAAACCCAAACCCAAACCGAAACCCAAACCCAAACCCAAACCTCACCGGCCATAAGTCAGGTGTGACCCTAGTAGTAGTAGTAGTAGTAGTAGTAGTAGTAGTAGTAGTCGTAGTCGTAGTCGTAGTCGTAGTCGTAGTCGTAGGAGTAGTAGTGTGACAGTTGTAGTGAGTAGTAGTATAGTTAGTCGAAGTAGTAGTAGTAGTAGTTAGTTGGTGGTAGTAGTTGTTAGTAGTTCGCAGTTAGTAGTAGTTAGTTCGTTTAGTACTTGGTGTTGTAGTAGTAGTAGTAG